AAGCTGCAAAACCCAGAGCCCAGCCTGCCTTCTGCCTCAAGGGTTCCAAAGCCCGCCATGGCCAGTGTCCCTGGGTGTGGCCTGGCCTGGGCCCTCCAGCCGCGATCACTAGGCTTTCCTATGAAGGTCAAGGAAGGGAGGAGGGTGCTGCCACGCCAGGGTCACTGGGGGCCGTGGGGCAGGCACGTGGCAGATGGGCTAGACCACACCTACTCAGGAACAACGCGGCTCTGGCCCCTGGCCGGACAGCCAGGAGAGGGGGCCGAACACATCCTCAGCTCCTTGCAGGAAGGGCTGGTGGCTCCGGGCAGCCCACGTCCCTCCTGAAGCCTGTGGGGAGGGGAGCGCTGCAGCCACACCCTGGGCAGCCACTGCACACACTCTCCTGCCCAGGCCCAGCGGCTCACACCCAGGGCCTGCCTGGCACACTCATTAGGTGCCCACGGGGCACGGGTGTCCCCGCACACAGGACTCACCTTTTCCTGGTGCCCAGGACAGGCACCTTCACGGCCTCGGCCTCAGCCCAGGGTGCGGGCTCACGCTGCCCAAACCCCTGGTGCCAGCCCTGTCCTGCCCAGCCCTCTGGACCCGGTCCCTGCCCCTGGTCCCTACCCCTCTGGCCGGGCTGTGGCCCCTGCGCCCCCGGCGACGCGGCGGACTCACGTGAACACGAAGAACAGGGTGCTGGAGCCGACCAGCAGCGCGGCGGCGGTGGCCACGGGGATGTACTTGGCGGGTTTGAGGCGCGTCCCGGGGCTGCGGGGCATCCTGGGCGCCGCGCCGCCGCATCCCTCCCCGGGGCCTGACGGGCGGGGCCGGCGGGGTCGTGCCGGGGTCGGCGGGGCGGGTTGGACGCGGCGCAGGACCCGCGGCGGCGGCGGCGGCGGAGGAGGAGGAAATCCCACCCCAGGGGCGGAGCGGCGGCGGCGCACTGATGTCAGCGCGCCCCTTAAGGTGGACCGGGAGGCGGGGGGCGGGGGCGCGGGGCGGGGCCAGAGGCCAGGAGGACGCTCCCGCCCCACCACGCCCTCGTGAGGATGCGGGCTGCAGAGCCCACCCCAGCCTGGGGCTCCCGAGCTCCCGCCCCGGGCCCTGCGCGCGCGGTGGAGCCGGGTCGGCCTCCTGCGCGGCGCTCGGGACGCTCAGAAAGCGGGCCTCTCCTCGCCTCGGGGCCCCGGTCTAGCGAGTGCCCGCGGCTCTCTAAGCCACAGCCGTCGCACCTGCAAAGCCCTGCCCACCAGCTGGACACTGTAGAGGACACCGGGCACCCTGTGTCCAGCCCGCAGGCCCCTCCTGGGCCTCTGCAGACCGCTCGCTCCCTGAACGCCCCCGAGCAGCGGGTGCCTGCGGGCAGGCGATGCCCCCGCTCCAGGCCATTCTCGGGAGCGCCAGGCCCGGCTCCTCGGGGGCTCCCCCACCAGGGGGTCAGCGGTGACACTGCGCGGGCACCTTGGGTGTTTATCCCCGTCCCGCCGCTCAGCCCTCGGGCCGCTTGGCTGGAGCAGCACCGCTCGCGGACAGCCTCAGGGCAGGGGGAGTGGTCCCTCTGCCTCCTGGCCCGAGCTGCAGGCCTGGGGTGTGGGTGGGTAGAGGCCCCGGGCCAGGCGCGTCCCTCGGCCCCCCGAGGCAGGGTGGAGCACCCCTCAGGAAGCACCGGGCACTCTGCCCCTGCGTGGGATCGGCCCGTGGTCAGGCCCACCTCCGGCAGGAAATCCCCCCCGCCCCTGCCCACGCCACTTAAGGTGGACCCGCGGCCTCGCAGAGCCGGCGCGGAGTGGGCGGGACCATCTGGGCAGCGAGTGCAGCGCCTCTGGGAGGTCGGAACCTCCATCAAGCTCCAAGGCCTCCCCAGTGAGCACCAAGTGTCTCTGTCCGCGGCACTGCGAGGCACACTGGCCATCTCCTCCGGCCACGCTGACACAGGCCCGGTGGCTCCTAGAGGCCCCTCCATGCTGGTAGGTGGGCCTTCTTAAGGCTCCGGCCCCAAAGGCTGCAAGCTACTACTAAGGAACCCTGGATGGGGGCCAGACCCCAGCGTTAATGCAGCTTGACAGCAGATCTGGTGATGTGCTTTCTCCCACCACATCCAGTTGTAGCCTTGCCCACTCCGGGAGGCCCAGCCCTTGGGGGACTGGCTCTATGACAGGGTCTGGGGGCGGTGGGGTGGATTCAAGGTGCAAAGGTGGACAAAGGACAGACTCCACCTGGAGCAGACCCCTCCTCAAGCCTAGCGGAGATGCCACAGCCCTACAGGCCTAATGCAAACAGGCCCTCGGGACAGGGGACACCACGCCAGCCAAACCCTGCCCCACCACTTCACCTTTGTTCATGCCCTTCTGCAGCCCTGTACAGGGAATGCTGTCCCCCACCGCCCCCCTTGCCACACACACACACACACACACACACACACACACCAACTTCTGGTAACAGGGCCTGGACATAGGCCCACCCATCAAGAGGCCCCTCCCCCACTGCACCCACAGTAGGGCCCTGCTTTGTGTAGGGGTGCCAGGTCAGCTGAGAGCTGAGTGCCAAATGCTGGTCACAGGAAGAGAGGGCCGTCATGTCTCTGCTGAAGTCCCTGTAGAGGGGGTCCTGGGTGGGGGAGACCCAGTGAGGTCACAGCCCAGAAATACTCTACCCAAGGAGTTAAGATCCCAGGGAAAGGAAAGCGCAGCGTTCCCAACCCCCTTCCCACCCACAGGGTGGGAATGAATGAATGTAGGTCATTCCTATCTCTTCTTCCCCAATATTGTTAGCACCTCAATTCTGGCTTAACATCATCACCTGTGCCACCCACACCGGCTGGGGGCAGCGAGTGAGGGGGGTTAAAGGAACCCCTACCGGCGTCCTGGCTCACACTTGCATGTCTCCCCTTGCAGCGCCTTCTGTAGTGTGAACAGCCGCATCGTTAATGCACCCTGGTCACAGCACCACTCTCCTCCAGCAATTCTGAGGGGCCTTCCCCTCTCCTCGTCCAAGGAGTCAGCCTGGGGTCTTACATGAGGTGAGGTTAGCTTTCATTGGAGCCCAAAACAGTAACATCCATTCTGTGCTGAAAGGCGTGTCAAGCCCCTGGGCCCTTTCACATAATGCATCCAACAGAGACCTCACAAGGAAAGGGCATCTGCCCTCACAGCATCACAATTCCAACTCCAGAGGGGCAGTGCACATGCTTCTGTGTTCCTCCTTGGGTGGGAAAAACCACTGCACAACACTGGCCTGTGCCCTGGGGCCTAAGGCTGCCAGGACACAACTAAGCTGGCCAGGGAAGTCTTCAGTTTTAAAACAAGAGCGGCTTCCTTTGGAGGTGCATCCCCGAGTGACCACGGACACAGTTTAAACGGGACAAACATCACAGGACACACAGGGCCCAGCTAGACTTGGCTACACTGGAAAGACCTCTGGTAGGTGTTAACTCAAACAGCCACCGGCGGCAGGAGCATGTCCGTCTGGGTGGGCACAGATTGCTCCTCCCCCGCTGAGGGTGGGAAGGCCACAGATCCTCGGGGGCCTGGTTATTTGCCAGGAACATGCCGACCCAGGTGAGACCATGTGTTTTCCAGATCCTGCCGGCACACTAAGAATCCTCCCATACGTGGGATGATTCTACAGAGGTAGCCCATCTACAAGACAAACCCCCAAATGGCACTACCCCATTTGCACTCTTGAAAGCATCCTTTTATTTAAAGCCATTGCAGATGTCCACAATTCCACCCAGATGGATGCCGAGAACACATGGACGATGGGATGGTTTTCTCCGACGATGGCGATGAGGCCAAGGCCTGCCGAGGCACTGCAAGATTGGGTTGGGTGCTACGGGACTGGCCTTTCCCAGCCTGAGGGCCGACCAGAGACAGCCTTGGCCAAAGCCCGGAGATCTGCTTGGCTTCCTTGTACCACAGCCAAAGAATCTGGTGATCTTCCTTTCTCTTCCCCAAAGGCAAAGGAAGAAAAAATCCTCTCTACTCCTCACCACCGGCAAAGGCACTTGAGGCCTTCAGGAGGCAGTACCCAACACTGGTCTCCCTGAGCCCAGTTGCCCCACTAGTACCAGCTCAGACATACCACAGCCCCAGTAGCCAACAGTGGCCCAAAGTCCAGGGCAGAACAAGCAGGGTCAGACCCAGAGTGCCACCCCAACCCCCTGGAGCCAGCAGGAACCCACACAGCTGCCAGGACAGGGCCAGCGCACACAAGGTCCTGCCCTCCATGAAGGTTTCGAATGAGTTGTTTATTCACTATGTTTGATGACTATAAATAAGTGTTTCCACTATGGAAAAGAAAGTTAGCACAGTACATCTGCATGACTGGGGAATGGATTTTCTGGTCATCTTCAATAGGGCAAAAACTTCCAAAAAAAAAAAAAAACCCACCTGAATGTTGGAATTCAGTTCTTTATATAAAGTCCCTTGTAAAAACAAAACAGAATAAAAACAAACCGAAAAGACGGGGCAGGGCAAATTTTTTAAAAAAGGAAAAAGGAACAGAAAACAAGGGCAGAGGACTTATTGCTTCTCCTCAGCTTTCTCCTTGGTCTCCTCCGCTCCGGACTCCTTGCTCTCCTCCACCGAAAGAGCTTCTAGCTTTTCAGCCACTTTCTCGGCATTATCGTTTTTGCCCGGTCCTCCTGAAACACGGGGAACACAGTAAGAAAACAGAAGCGTCTTCTCCCCGGCCCACGCGGGAGCGAGATGCACCTGCCTCACGGGATCCTGACACTCCCCTCAGGACAGGCTGCTGTTCTATCGCATGCCTCCAGAGTCACCCAAATACACACACACACCTGGGACCTCAGTCAGTCTGCTCAGTTGTGTCACTGGCTATGGCAGCCGTTATCAGGCCCTGAATAAGCAGATGGCCGTGAGGACCTCTCAAAGTCCATTCAGCCTCTGTAGGGCTCCAGTCAGACACTATGACCTGCCCACCGGCCCAAGTGTAGTGAGACCAGGTCAGTGAGCATGCACTGGGGCCTGGATGGCCAGCTCACTCCCAGAAAGCACCATGTCCCCGGGCAGCTGCGTCACCCTGCACAGGTCAAGGTAGTCGCAGTCCCTGGAATGTTTCTGTGGCAGACTGAAAAAGCACCCGTCTGGGACGGCAGCCGGGTGCAGAGTGAGTCTGCAAGGAGGCCCCCACCCATGAACACCATGTTACCTTTCTTTTCTCTCTCTTCGATCTCTTTCCTGCATTCTTCAAACTTTGTCTTGAATTTCTGTGCATCTGCGGAAAGAAGAGACTTCCTCAGAATCCTGAGAAGTGAAGGGGACAAGTCCAGCAAGTGTGAAGAGCCAGGGCTCATTAAGGGCCAGTCCCATAGCCATTCTGACAAGCTGGGCCATCTAACATGACCCTGGATCCACTTCTGCCCAGACTGGGCAGTGACTGTTTCTTAGGTCCCTCCTGAGGCTAGTGGCTATGCTGAGCCGTCTCCTTCCATCTGACTCTGCAACAATTTGGGCACAGCAGCAGTATGGTGGCCTCATGCAACCAAGGGCCAGGGCCTCCGCCCAGGTACTCTGCCCTCCATTCAGGTTGAAGTAGCTGCTGGACAGGCCCCGTTCTAGAGCAGAAGAGAGGTTCACTCACACCAATGGTGAGCTACAGGGCCACTGAGCTCCAGCACCCACCCAACTCCTGCAGGGCACACTGGGCACAGCTTTGACCAGCTGGGCCGAAAAGACACCCAAGCAGGGGAGAGATCAGCCTCAGCCTGTGGATCTTAGCACAGCCCCTGCTGGCACCCAGGTGACCAGGTGATGGTGAAGGGAACCTGGCTGGTGCAGCCTCCTTTGCGGTTAAGAGGGAAAGGCACTCACTGCTCCTAGACCTAGATGCAAGAGCGCTTGGCTTGACTGCACTTAGATCCCTTCCTTGAGGGCCCACCAGATAGCAAGATAGTAACAATTCCCACCACAGCTTCCCAATTACCATCAATTCTCCCTGGAAAGCAATAGTGTTTCTGTTTGCAATGAAACTGCTACACTGTAAAACTGGCGGCAGCACTCAGGCCAGCCCAGAGGCCCGCCCCCCCTCCTGCTTACTTTCAGCATTGAGGAAGCGGATGGCCAGCAGCTCCGGCTTAGGGCGCTCATCAGCGAAGTCGGCGTGGGTGTTCCAGACCCAGGCACGGTCACTGCCTGCGTTTGGCTTCAGCTCCATCATTGGCGTGACTGGAGGAGAAGCGCCATGAGGATAATGTCCACTACCACAGGGCCAACTTACCACCCCGGCCACGCCACTCCAGGACTGCAGTTCTGCCTGCCAACCCAAGGTCCCATTTTGGGCCAAACAGGGATGATTTGGGGCAATCTGGAATTTACCCAAACCTCTTTTAAAATGCCCCATGTTCACTTAAAACCAGGAACACCCTAAATCAGTCAAGGGCTCCAAAGCCAATGCAGCTGATCACAGCCCGCCCCTTGGTGCAGCCTCCAGACCCAGGAGACATGGGCACAATGATAGGCAGACCCAGCCCTTTCTGGGGACCTGACCCTTTGGAAGTTGGGGGTCATCAGAGGGCCAAAAGCTGAGAAGTGGGAAGATCACCCAGAATGGTGCACAGTCAGAACCACACACCCAATCTCAGCTATCTATGCCAAGGCAGGCCAGTGGGGAGGCGCCAGTCTACCAGAAGTGGGCACTATAAGCCTTGTGACATGGTCATGTCACGGAAGACACAGTCATGGCCTGGAATAAGCAAACTGCCCTTCTCCACAGGCTCTACGTACATCCAAGGGAGACTAGCTGTTCTGAAAGAACAGAAGCACCCCCAGTGCCATGCCCAGCCGTCTACCAGTAGCAGAGGTCTCCAGGGATGTGGGACAGGCCAAGCCCAGCCCTGGGCCACACATCACATCATCACCCAGATGAGCGGCGAGCCGTGTGCCTCGCAGGGCATGCACAGCCTTCCTCCCACCATCAACCGCCGGGTCCACCAAGGGCCTAGGGTGTGCACCAGGCCCAGGACTCACCTGCAACTCACACAGAAGTGACCTAGCCACCTGGCAAACCTCTAAAAATAGCACAAGTGTCAGGAAGACCCCTGAGAAGGCACTTCAAATTGGGTTGATCGGCAAGGACAGGGAAGAGCAGGCAGGCTGGGACGTGGAGACTGGCACACAGAGGCCGAATGGGGCCGAAGCAACTGTGGTACAAGGAGGACCCCCCACATCACCCCCGAGGGCCATTGCACTCTGGTTCCGGACAGCAGTCACCCTGTGAGCAAAGGGGCCCTGCCCTGTCAGACACACATCACACCAGAAATGCAGCACGGCCCTGGATCAGAAACGGAGTCCAGGACACGCTGACTTCAGTCACCTCTTCACAGGCCAGGCCTTGGGTGGCTAATCCTAAAAACCCTACCGCACTAAGCCCAGCGCTAACGTCACACCTGCCCAAGGGCTTCCACCCACTCGTGACGCTTCCCAGGCTCCTAAGGGTGAGGTAGCCACCTTCTCCCCACCCCGTTCCAATCCCATGTCCTCCCCAGGGAACACCACGTGGGGACAGAACACACCAACGGGTGGGAAGGCTGCCGCCCAGGCACTTCACACACAGAGGCACGTGAGCACACACACAAACGCACTCACACGCCCTTAGGCCGAGCCTGGTTCCGAGGCCACACTGGGCTCTGCCTCCATCCCGCTTGGTCCCACCTGCCCAGTCTCCACACCCCCGTGGGCTATAAGCTTCTCTGCAGGTCTGCTCTGAGGTCTGAGGCACGTTGGAAAACCTCATTTCCTAGTTTAAATTAAAAGAAAACACACACTGTAAACGTGCACTGGCGGACGGGACACTCCTGGGTCGCAGTGCAGGCCTGAAGCAGGCTGCCCACAGGTCGGAAGCTGCCCCGATGCCGTGTCGGGCCCAGAAGGAAAGCACCCCCGAGAGGCCACCTACTATAGTGGTTGGCGCAGATCTTCAAGGTCTTGTCCCTCCTCATGAGGAGGCGGATGGTCCCTTTTTCCTTATGCTTCAGGAGCTTCACGTCGCCGGTGCCTCGCTCCTTCCATTCTGGGAGATCGTTCTCTGAAGCGAATCGAAACAGCTTTGCCCGCCTTCAAGAAAAGCCGTTACATGAGAGCTTAGATACACAGAAAAGGTATCAGACAAAAGGCACCAACCTTTGATGGAAAAAGCACTTCTTTTCTGGGTGTTAAACAAACAGCTGTACCTGATGTCTCAAACGTACACCCTTTCCTTTCTTTGTACTCCAAGAACTACAAACTAAAATGTCACCAAAAGAGCAAAAAAGCAAATTCCAAGTTTTAACATGATGATAAGAAAGAATAAAAGATTTCTACAGTCACACCGTGTTCTTTTCCTTTTTTAAAAACATTTTTTTCAGAGAGGGAGAGAGAGAAACATCAATAATGAGAATCATTGATCGGCTGCCTCCTGCATGCCCCCTACTAGGGGGGATCGAACCCACAACCCAAGCCTGTGCCCTTGGCCAGAATCGAACCTGGGACCTTTAGTCCGCAGGCCGATGCTCTATCCACTGAGCCAAACCGACTAGGGCCAGTCACGTTTTCTAACAGAAAGACCTGACCCATCAGCAAAATAGCTCACCTGAGTCTGCTGAGCGTGTCTGTGAAGACGGTACGGGACTTCCTGGTGATCCGTGGGGCCACAGGGACAGCATGGAAGCAGATGGAGGCCAAGGACCCCTGCCTTCCACAGGGCCAACCTTTCCCTCAGCTGTGAGATGCCCCCTGTGCTTCCCCAGCCCCCACCAGACCACCAGGCTCTGGCCCAATCCCCTGTCTTCCTGCCCAGAACAGTACCTCACTGGGCCCAGGCAAGGCCGCCACCACAGCCGAGCCCAGCAGTCCTCCTCAGGGCTCAGGCCAACATCCTCCCATCACCAACCACACCTGCCCGTTTTGCTTCCCCACAGGATCCCCACTCTATTGTTCCCTTTTCTGCAGAAATTCTGCTCTCTCCCAAAAACTCAACTCTGTTAAGGGAGGCATGTTCTCACAAGGACGCCCCCAAGGGCTTTGACCTAGAGCCGTGGTCGGCAAACTGCGGCTCTGGAGCCACATGCGGGTCTTTGGCCCCTTGAGTGTGGCTCTTCCACAAAATACCACGTGCGATTGGAACTTCGGCGTAGTCCATGCAGAAGTCGGTTTTTGGCCTAGGTGAGTCTATTTTGAAGAAGTACTGTTGATATTTGGCTCTGTTGACTCATGAGTTTGCCGACCACTGATCTAGAGCCCTAGGACCACATACAAAGGTGAGACTTGCTGGCCTCACTTCCCTCAGGAAGGGCCTGTGTCTAGGACACCAAGAGTACCTCCCACCCCCGCAGGGACAAGGAGATGACAGTAACAGCCAGCCCTGGCTGCAGCATCATTTCTGGGCAGAGCAGAGATTTGGAGAACCACCTTCTGAAATCAAAGGGGCATATTCATCTCTTCTTTCCTGCCGGGGCTGACCAGCAGCCCCTGAATGACGGATGAAGAGATTACTCCGACACAGTCTGACTGTGGTGGAGAGGGCTTAGGGGCTTGCCTGCCTCATTAAGCTTTTTTTTATAAATATATTTTATTGATTTTTTACAGAGAGGGAGAGGGATAGAGAGTTAGAAACATCGATGAGAGAGAAATATCGATCAGCTGCCTCCTGCACACTCCCACTGGGGATGTGTCCGCAACCAAGGTACATGCCCTTGACCAGAATCGAACCCGGGACCCTTCAGTCTACAGGCTGACGCTCTAACCACTGAGCAAAACCGGTCAGGGCTTGTTAAGCTTTTATTGGAATTTTTTTATGCAATCAGTAGGGTGAGTAATCTTGGGAGGACACGTGTTTACACTGTCCTCTAGGCAAGGGCATCCAGGGATTAAGCATAAGGATTCCAGTAAACACCCGGGGGTCTGCATAAGCAGGCTTGTTTGGAAAAGGTCAAGGAATAATTAGAGGTGCCGCCTTTGACACTCCTGTAAATCAGAATTCTGATAAACAGGGCACATACTTCCCTTTTATCAGAATGTCCCCCTTACAAACTTCCCAACCGAGTCTCTTGTGCTTCCCAACCCTTTCCCAGATCCTTGGGAGTTGGTCTCCCCAGGCTCCCTTCCTTAAAGGGATGGGTCCCAGGGTTGGTGACTGCCTCTG